TATATATATAGTCACGGGACATGGAGTATAGTGTGGGAGTGGAGTCAAGGGAATTGTAATAGATATGTATGATATGGGGGGAGTGGGGCGGCGGATTGGGGGAGGGGGATTGTCACTTTGAGGGGTAAAAAGTATAACTATTGCACTGTGTTGTACAGCTGAAACTAATTTAAAGAAATGTTTATTTCACAATAAAAAGAAAGAATGTTCTATGAATGGAATCATACTCCCTATTACCTTTTGACCCTGGCTTTTCCACTCAGCCTAAATTAATTTAAATTTATATTTAAATAGCTGTATGTGGCTGGCAGCAACTATTTTGGACAGTGCAGTTCTGGAGAGTTCCATGGGATTTAGATCCCGTGGGTCACTCTGATATGATATGCCCTACAGTATGGTTGTCAGGATTACAATTGGAAATCGGTAGAGAGAGCACTCAGCAATACAGCAGTCTCCCCTTATCCGCAGGGGATACGTTCCAGACCCCCAGTGGATGCCTGAAAATATGGATTGTATCGAACTCTATATGTATTGGGTTGTCGGAAAAGTCATGACGTACTTTTTCTGTTTTTCGTTGCAAAAATGCGTCATGACTTTTCCAACAACCCAATCCTGTTTTCTCCTATTCATACATATCTATGATAAAGCTTACTTTATAAATTAGACACAGTAAGAGATTAACAACAATAACATGATAGAAAATTATAATAACATATTATAAGAAATGTTATATGAATGTGGTCTTTCTCTCAAAGTATCTTATTGTACTGTATTCACCCTCTTGTGATGATGAGAGATGATACAGTGCCTCCGTGATGAGATGAAGTGAGGTTAATGACATATACCTTGTGACATAGTGTTAGGAGAATTACCTGCTTTGGGTGATCCTGGGTCCTTGAGCTATGACAATGTTGATGATTGGATGTCAGGAGCAGACAATGTTGATGGTTGGGGAAATTTGATATTTTTCTGACCATCAGGTAACAGACCGCAGAAAACAAAACTGCGGATAAGGTGGGGACCACTGCACTTGAGAAACTGAACTGATTCTTAGCACTTTTCCATGTCTACTCTGGCCTTAGGTCCAGTGGCTCCTAGACAACTACGAGACGGCCGAGGGCGTGAGTCTGCCGCGGAGCACCCTCTACTGCCACTACCTGCTGCACTGCCAGGAGCAGAAGCTGGAGCCCGTCAACGCCGCCTCCTTTGGCAAACTTATCCGCTCTGTCTTCATGGGCTTGCGCACCCGCCGTCTGGGCACCAGGTGGGGCTACCCGCCCCCAACAACCACAAGGCCCACCCTACCCCAAGTTATCTAGAGCCTCAGCTTCCCCTCTCATGCCCTCGCTCACTCCCCTCCAGCCCCACTGGCCTCTTCACAACTTCCAACCCCAGGGCCTTTACAACGCTGTACCTTCTGCCTTATGTGCTTTTCCTCACCTCCTTACTCGAATGTCCCCTGACCCGCTTAACTAAAACTGCCTCTCTGACATTCTACACCCTGCCCTTTTCCCTGCTTACTTTTTCTCCTTAGCACTTCCCATCATCCAGCATGCCTTTAATGTTACTTCCTTCCCTTGTTTCTGATCTGTCTTCCCATGCTGAAAGGTACATTCCTTGCAAATGCAGAGACTGCACACAATCAGTGCTTACTCAAGGCCCTTGAGTCAGTGAATTCATGCAGGAAGGAACAGGGAGCCATCCCACAAGCCCACCCCTCCCTGCCTCTCCTTTGCAACCCCCCACATCTCCCTGAGCCTCTTGGTTCTGGTTCCTAGCTTAGGAATCACCTTGGGCAAAATACCGTATTTCCTCACCTGTCCATCACGGATGCTAGGAGCACCCTTCATAGGGTAAGGATGAGGCGCACGTGGATTCATATGTGTTCAGAGCTCAGAACAGTGCCTGGCACATTCTTATGACAAGCAGTCAACAAATGTTTGCTGCATGCCTTCCCCACGCCAGTATTGGGGATTGACCCTGGCATGGGGCAGGCGTGCAGCAAAGATGCTGGCCCTGTCTTCACAGAGCTCAGTTGGCATTTGGGGGCCTCTCCTGGTACCATAGCTCCTACGTTTTCCCAGCACAGCACCCCTGGCTCTGTGGAATGTGGGTTTCCCCCCCCCCAGGGAGCTCTATTTGGCCTTTAAGTAGCAAGGAAACGGGTGTGATGTGAAGCTCCCAATGGATGACCAGTGGCCCCCGCAGCCCAGCCCTCACCCTCTGCCTCCCTCCCAGGGGCAACTCCAAGTACCACTACTATGGCCTGCGCATCAAGGCCAGCTCTCCCCTGCTGCGGCTGATGGAGGACCAGCAGCACATGGCCATGCGGGGTCAGCCCTTTTCACAAAAGCAGAGGTAAGAGGTCTGGACTCTGTGCTGGCAGGTGGGGAAGGGCATGCTGGCCGACCCCCACCGAATTGCCCCACCCTTCTCCCCCAGGCTCAAGCCCATCCAGAAGATGGAGGGCATGACCAACGGTGTGGCCGTGGGGCCACAGCAGGCCACCGGGCTGTCAGACATCAGTGCCCAGGTCCAGCAGTACCAGCAGTTCCTGGGTGAGAGCCCCCTGGCCTGTGGGCCAGGGCCTGGGGCAGGGTTTGTTGTCCTGAGATGGTTCACTTGTCCTCCCTGAGCCTTTTCATTCCCCACTGCACACGGGGGACCCTTGCTTGGTAGGAAATTGGTGACAACTTATTAGGATCCTAGGATGAAACTCCAAGGGGACAGGCAGATGGGGACGTAGGGCCTTATGGTGTCCCCTCCTGCCCCCAGATGCCTCAAGGAGCCTCCCTGACTTCTCAGAGCTTGACCTCCAGGGCAAAGTGCTGCCTGAGGGCGTCGAGCCCGGGGACATCAAGGCCTTCCAGGTCCTGTACCGGGAACACTGTGAGGTAAGGCAGCCTGGCAGGCGGGCCGGGGAGAAGAAGGGCCATACTACTCCCCAGCTTCCCTGAGCATCCAGCCTCCCCAATAGGCCATCGTTGACGTCATGGTGAACCTGCAGTTCACACTGGTGGAGACGCTATGGAAAACCTTCTGGAGGTACAACCTTAGCCAGCCCAGTGAGGCACCACCGCTGGCCGTGTGAGTCCCTGGAAGGGCAGAAGGGGGGGCACCGTGTGAGTCAGCACCCAGGGCTGGGGTTGCCAGACCTTGGGCATCATGCAGGACTAGGGGGTGCCTGCCTGGCCCCTGCAGTTGGTGGGTTGCACATGGCCTTCTGACCCCCATTCCAGAGTGTGCGTGTGTATGGGTCTGATGCTGAGTGCTTGGGATGGTGTGCCCTACTGACTCATTTTCTCCCTGTGGTGGGTAGGGTGGGGGCCTATGCCCCAGTATTGCAGAGTATAAGACCCCATCTGACATGGAGGCACTGGTGCCTGTGTCAGCCTGACTGCAAGGGTTGGCGGGAGGCAAGGAGCACCTGCCTAATCCCTGGGGGGGCGGGGGGGGGTGCCCACAGGCACGATGAGGCTGAGAAGCGGCTGCCCAAGGCCAGCCTGGTGCTGCTGTCCAAGTTCGAGCCTGTGCTGCAGTGGACCAAGCACTGTGACAACGTGCTGTACCAGGGCCTGGTGGAGATCCTTATCCCCGACGTGCTGCGGCCCATCCCCAGTGAGTGCACTGCCGCTGCCCCCTCAACCCCGTGTCCATCCCCCACCCCTCAGTCCTGCTCAGCCCCCACTGCCACCCACAGGTGCCTTGACCCAAGCAATCCGGAACTTTGCCAAGAGCCTGGAGAGCTGGCTCACCCATGCCATGGTGAACATCCCAGAGGAGATGCTGAGGGTGAAGGTGAGGGTGTGAGGGGCCAGCCTGGGCTCAGCTCGGCTCCTCCCTCTGGGCTGTGGGGCTGAGGTCTGGGGGCTGATGGCTGCAGGCCTTGGTACCTCTGCTCAGTAGAGGCAGTAAGATTTGTCCCAATGCCTGTCCCCTGGGAGCGAGCTCTGGGTGTTGTCTTGACAAACCAACCTCCTCACTTCTTACCCACTTCTGAAACACAATCCCTTTGTAATTTTTTTGTACACAACACAGCATCTTAAAAAAATAAAAGCCAACTGGAAATTTGAAGTACTCTTCAGACAACCTTGAGAAAGTGGTTTAGGTCTTCAGAAATAGGTAAAATCTCAAAAAAACCCCAAAAAACAAGCAACGTTTATAAGGAGTCAATAGCCCTCTTCATCAGTGCTGAACATTCACCATCTACTTAAATGTGAGGAATTAGAAGGGATGTGCTTACTCTTGGGGGGAAAAAAAAGAGGGTTTTTGTAGTCCTTAAAATGCTAATATGACAGCTAAACAGAACTGAATGACTGAAGAATCACCCCTGGGTGTGCTGGACACAGCAGGGCCTGTGGAGAGAGTATAAGTTGTATTCAGGGGGAAGCTCTTCAGAACTGACAAGACATACATTCATTAATTCAACATGTGTTTATTGAGCACCTACTGCATGCCCATCATGGTTCTGAGTGCTGGCAGCACAGCAGTGACCAAGATGAACAAAGCTCCCACCCTCGTGGAGCTGACATTCATGGGAATAATAATCGAAACAATGGAACAAAAATGTATTGAAGCAGTGCCTGCCTGAGATTTTCTGTTGTGTCCTTTCATTAAAAAAAGTAATAATGCTAGTCAGACATGTTTGCAAATCAGACCCTTGATTTCCCAACAAAAAATGAGGTACATACACCCTCCTCCATATTTAGAAGAAATGGGCTCAGAGAGGTTGCAGTGGGTGGGGCAGGGGACAGCAGGTGTGGATTCCGCGGAAGCCACAACCCCCCCCTCCCACCTACGCAGGTGGCAGCTGCGGGCGCCTTCGCGCAGACGCTGCGGCGCTACACGTCGCTTAATCACTTGGCACAGGCTGCGCGCGCTGTGCTGCAGAACACCGCACAGATCAACCAGATGCTGAGTGACCTCAACCGCGTGGACTTCGCCAACGTACAGGTGAGCACGGGGTGGGGCGGGGCAGGTGAGTGCGGGGCAGGGCGGGCCCTGGGCAGCTGCTGAGCCAAGGGGTTGCGCCCGCTGTGTCCCAGGAGCAGGCCTCGTGGGTATGCCGCTGCGAGGACCGCGTGGTGCAGCGGCTGGAGCAAGACTTCAAGGTGACGCTGCAGCAGCAGAACTCACTGGAGCAGTGGGCAGCCTGGCTGGACGGCGTCGTGAGCCAGGTGCTCAAGCCCTACCAGGGCAGCGCCGGCTTCCCCAAGGCCGCCAAGCTCTTCCTCCTCAAGTGGTCCTTCTACAGGTGCGCGGCGCCTGGGTTGTATCCCACCAGGAAGGGCCGGAGGCCTCTTCTCAAGGGGCGGGACCCAGAGAAGGCCCCGCCTCCTCAAAGAGGGTGGGACGGTAGGAGGCCCCGCCTCCTCGAGGAAGCTGGACCCAGGGGAGGCCCCGCCTCTGGGGGGGCGGGGCTCAGATGCCCTTTTGTGAAAGTGGAGGTCCTATTGGCGGTGAACGGGGTGAGGGTTCTCCGATCTCACTGGTGCACGTCCCAGGGAAGCCAGACCCGGGCTGGGCCAGGCTTGCCCGAGGGTATTGGGGCGGAGAGTTGGGGCGGAGAGGCAGGGCCGGGCTTAAAGGCCTTCTTTCTGCCACTGTCCCCAGCTCCATGGTGATAAGGGACCTGACCCTGCGCAGCGCCGCCAGTTTCGGCTCCTTCCACCTCATCCGGCTGCTCTACGATGAATACATGTACTATCTGATCGAGCACCGTGTGGCCCAGGCCAAGGGCGAGACCCCTATCGCTGTCATGGGCGAGGTGCGCGCAGCGGGGCGCTGAGGGTGCGGGTGGGACGCCCTTTGGCGAGACCCTCACCCCTTCTCTCCCCATCTATAGTTTGCCAACTTGACCACCTCGCTGAACCCCCTGGACCCGGACAAAGGTAGGCGAGGCGTGTCCCTATCCAGGGCCCGAGTTCGGGAGGCGGCGCACCGGAGCTGGGGTGCTAGGGTGGAGGCTCTGGCTGGGGCCTGGGGGTACCGCGCCCCGCGCTGAGCCGGGCCTGGTCCGTGTGTCCCAGACGAGGAGGAGGAAGAGGAGGAGGAGAGTGAGGACGAGCTGCCGCAGGACATCTCACTGGCTGCTGGTGGCGAATCGCCTGCTCTCGGCCCCGATGCCCTGGAGCCACCGGCCAAACTTGCGCGGACGGACGCGCGTGGCCTCTTCGTGCAGGCGCTGCCCTCCAGCTAAGCCAGCGACCTGCCCCTCCTCGCCCGCCCATCCCTGCCGCCCCTGTCACCCCTCCACGTCAGGGTCCTTCACAGCTTCTATGGCTTCGCTATCCACCCTCCAGACTCGGCCAGGTCCAGGAGGGGCCCTCTGAGACAGGGAATGCAAGGGGGGTCCCTGCCCCTGATTGGGCTGGCACAATCACAGGGCCGGGTGAAGCCGCAGCTGCAAACTCTGACACAAAAGACGTGCCTTAAGGAACCCGCCGCTGTGCCCAGGTGACCCTTGGGGCAGCCAGCCGGCCCCAACGGCCCCGAAGGCCGCAGCCTCTCCCCTCCCACAACCGGCCGTCCCGCCACCCTTAGGGGGCAGGCAGGCAGGCCCCCTTCCCTGCCGAACTGTTAACTTATTCAGCTCGCTGGCTTTGCACAGCCTGTCCTGGGCCCAGCCCTGAGCCCCGGGTGGGCGCAGGTGGGCATCACCTAGGGACCCCCCCAGTCAGCAGCAGCCCTGGGACCCCTCCCCCAACAATCCCATCGCAACCCCCTCCTTGGTATAAGTGCAATTAAAGCCGTGGGTGTCGCATCTTCTCCAGAGCTAGGCCCTCCCTTGCCCAGCAGCCCTAGAGAGGGCACTGCCCGGAGCTGCTTGGCTTTGAAGGGAGGGTGGCAGGGGGCACTGCCTCCAGCTTCCAAAGAAAGAGCAGCGGGCTGGGCCGGGTACTGGAGCCCACAGGGGCCTGCTGCCGGCAGTGGGGCTCCGTTCACTCAGATCCAAGACCCCTGAGTTCCCCTCCCGCCAATGGTTTGTAATGGAACCTCTGTGCTTCTCCGTGCTGTGCGCCCCCCACCCCCATGACTATTGTGTGATTCGTGAGCGCCGCCTGAGCGGAGTTGGTAACTTGTTGGGTTTTTTTCCAACCATCATGGCCTTATCTGTTCCGGTTTTCTCAGTGTTTCAACCTGTGAGATGTTTATGGCAAAAAGGAAAAAAAAGGAAAAAAAAAACCTGACCTATTGTATAAAAATCACTATTTTGTGTGCTCCGCGTGCTGCAGGCTTTTGGGGTGGCCCTCCCACACCCCTCCATGTCCTCGGGCCTCCCCTCCCAGCGGTGAAAGTGTCCCCGCGTGTGGTAGTCTAGTGTGCCGAGCCGTTTTCTACCTTTTTGTAGTCTTTCTTAAAACAATAAATTCTGCTGTGATATTTGGCTACTGCTGATTCGAGGGCCTGGGCGGGGGGAGCTTGGGGCTCCAGATGCCCCAAGCCCAGTAAAAGGAACTCCATGAGGTTCAGAAATAAAACATTTATTACATGAAGAGGAATAATGGGAGCAGAATGGCCACAATGTTTGCCACCTCAGATGGGGAGGCTGGGGGGAATCAGGGTCCATTTGGTCCCCCAGGGGGACAATGTCCACACCTATAGCCTGGGAAAGGGGCAAATATGCAAGGAGCAAGGGCCCATGCCCTGTGCCTAGCACAAGGTGAAGGCAGGTGCTCGAGGCTGGTGGAACAGGGGGCTCCCTCCCTCTGCCCCTTCCCAACTTAAATAGGCATAAATAAAAAGCGTCCAGACTCTCAGGCCACCAGGGGCTGCCCCGCCCAGCCTCCTTCCCACAGCCTAACACCAGTGGCGGTCGTTGGGCGGCCAGCCAGCCAGGAAGAGGCTGCCAGGAAGGTGGCCAGCTCCCAGACCACAGAGGTAGTTGGAGTCAGTGTCCAGGCCCACCAGGCCCTCACAGCACAATCCATGTGTATCGCTCGCTGTCTGCCAGAACCTTCAGTGAGCACCCTACAGGAAGGGTCAGGACAGAACATGGAGTCTCTGCAGGCCCAGGCTGTGGGAAGGACCTATCTCTTTCCCAGACCTGATCTGGGTCCAGAAGATTCTGGAAGGCTGTATTCTCTGCCTCCCACCTGCAGCCACCCAATAAATGTCTGCTGAATGAATGAGCAACTGGCTGGGGGTCCCCAAGTCCCATATTTGCCAGGCCTTTTCCGAGCTGGCTCCTGGGCTGGGCCGCCTCCCTCCCCTCACCCCGTTCTACAGTGTCCACTAGCATGGCCAGAGTGCTCCTCTATTCAGTAACAGGAGTCGGTGCCTGCCCCAAGCCTGGCCCTACTGTCACTGGGTCACGGGGCCCACCTTTGTGCAGTGCTTCGTTAGTCATCCTGTTGACATAGCGGCCGCTGCTCTCAGGCACCAGCCACTTCATGACCATGTCCACACAGCTCTTGCGGTACGAGCTCCAGACACTGCCGCTGAGGGCAAAAGAGGGCTCTCGTTGCTCTGGCCACCCAGCCCGGCTCCCAGCCCGGTTCTAGCCCCAGCCCAGCCTCACCTGGTCTGCCCTTTGACCTCAGTGAGATCACCCACACTGACTGTCACAAAGATGCCTGTGTTGAGGTCCCATGCCACCTTGAGGCTCGTGTGATAGGTCTTTGGTCTGCAGAGGGGAGAGGAGCAGAGGAGAAAGGGCGTAGGACCACCACATCCCTGAGCTGGGACCCAGGCTGCCCAAGGGTCTTCTGTCTTTAGAGCAGGTCACAGAGTGCCTGATCCAGGTTTTGGGGGCAGGGGGAGTCTTCACTCATCCCCACTCTACCTCTCTGAAGGGTCTGAGGTGAGGGCAGGATCCCTGCCCACTCACCGGAGCTGGCCCTCCTCCGTTGGGGATGGGAACGCCAGCAGCAGCAGGCCAATGTTGATGAGGACCTGGTTGGTTTCTGGACATACCTGGGGGACGAGGGGTAGATGGTGACAGCTTTGAGAGTGACCCCCAGTGTGGATAGGCCCTGGGCATGCTTTGTCCCACCCCTGGGCCCACCTCCAGGATGACGATGTCATAGTCACTGAAGGAACAGAACTGGTGGCCCCAGGTGGCATCGTGGCGGATGACCTCATTGATGACATACTCGAAGTCCAGCGTGAGCTGTTCCACCGTCAGGTACTGGCCCTGTGGGCAGGAGGTGGAGGGGCAGGGGAAGGACTGTGCCAACCGCCACTCCACCAGGCTCCCCGGGGCTGCCCCTTGGCCTGCCTGACACCACCGGCACCAACCTGGACAGCGGCCCGCTCCCTCATGGGCCGCAGACTGCGGCCACGGAGATCAGTTACCACAAAGGACAGGGAGATCTTGTCATCCTCGAACTCTGAGGGGGCAGGAAGTGGGAGTAGGGGCAGCAGGAGGTCTGAGACCCCCTCAGGCCTGCCTCCCATGCCCAGGGCCCTGCCTGCTAGGTGGGTTCCCTGCTCACCATCCTCTGGCTCTGTCCCTTCACCGGACCCCAGCACGTAATACAGCTTGGTGTAGTTGACATAGCCAGGCTCGGGGGCCGGCGCCTCCACTGCAGGGGGGCTGTCCCGGGGTACCACCTCCCCACCTGGGGGTAGGGGCTCAGAGGACGGGCGACAACAGCTGCCCGAGGGCCCCGGGCATGGGGGTGGCCGGGCTTCCTCCAAGGTCCCACCCTTGGCCTCTTTGGCCCTGCGGAAGATGTCAGCCACAAACTCCTTGGCTTTGGCGATGGCAGGTGAGGGCTCAGGGGCCCCAGAGGGCCGGGCTGGGGCTGTCTCGGGGCAGAGGCTGGGACGGGCAGGGGGCACCTCTGGGCTTTCGGGTCCAGGGGGGCTAGGAGGGGCCGGGGGGTAGGTGGTGTGGTCATACAGGATTTGGCAGAAGTTGCTATCGCCTGGAACATAAAAAGAGATGAAGGTGCCGGGTGTGGGGGGGTAGCAATAAACGAGCTGAAGTCCAGGATGCTCTCCCACCCTGGAGGGCTCTTAGAAATCCTATGCTAAATGATCACTATGAAACACCCAGAAGAGAAAAAGACCTTTTACACTTACACACACACACTCACGTGCATAAATACACATCCATTCAAACCTTGTTCTTGAGCATCTACTGTATGCCATACTCTGAGGTAACAGGAGTGAACAAGACAGATAATAATCCCTGCCTTTGGGGAGCTGATAGTCTATGGTGACAGCATATAAAAGCCACTTAAGTTTGAGAGTTTACTACACAGCCCTCAGTCCTCTCCAACTAGAGTGGGCCTGCATTGATGTCTCCACCTGACTAGGGCCACACGCCACTCTGGGGAATATGGGCTCAGTGTGGAATGAGCACCACTGTGGCTGGGCCCTGGGCCCTGCATGTACAGCCTCCTTTGGGACCTCAACAAGCAAATGGGGATGGGGGGTGGGAGCATGTCCTCCCAGTTCAGAGAGAAACTGGTCCAAAGTCACACTGTGAGATAATTTGAGTCTGCCAATGCACTCCTGTCCACCAGAGTGGTGGCACTTCCATGGGCAAGGGGATGAAAATTGAAAAGTCAAAATTCCCGGTGTAAACACCCTCCTCCGGCAGTGTTAGACATCAATGACAGTGCCCCTCTCCTGGGCTGGGTGCACATGGCTGAATCCTGTCTGGTCCTTCCTAAAAGGACCCACACCATGACAGCAAGGGGCATCGAATCCATCTAGGCTGGGCTCACAAGGGGCTCACAGCTTGGCAAGTGGTAGGGCCTCACCCACATGGGCACAGGTAGCAAGGCAGAGGTGGGAGGCCATGCATGGACCCAGGGACAAGGCACCCTGGTCCTGGCTGTTCTGTGGGCTCTGTCATAAACAATTAGTCCTCTATTCATGCCTAATTGCCCTCCCACCCCAGGAGTAACCATTTTAACATAGTTAGAGGGCATCTTTTTATTTAACTGCATTCTTACACAATTGAAACATTTTTAATTTATACGTTTTATCTGGTTATAGATCTTATGCTTCTTTTGCATTTGCACATGACTTTGAGACATGCTCCCCGGAGTCTGCTGATCAGGGGATGTACCCACCCTATTCTGCCTCCTGGATCCCCAGGGATATACACCAAGTGGCCCCAGCTCCCTCACCGCAGCCTCGGATATGCCAAGGTGCAGGGCTGTTGGGCTTTGGGCAACTCTGTTGCCATGTGGCCCTACGAGAGGGAAAGCCCCCAGGGCTCTATGTCACCACCAGTCTGTGGCATTATCCAGACTCCTAATGTTTGCCACTATGTTAAGGGACATCACCTTGTGATTTTCACTGGTATTTCTTTAATTACCAAAGATGTAAGAAGGCCATCTGTCCACTCACCACTCCCTAAAATTTTTAATTAACATTTTTCTTTTTGAAGAGAAGACAGCACTGTGCTGTCCATAAAATTAAAGTCAAACACTCAGTTCTTTGGTCACATGAGCCACTTTCATGTGGCTACTGTTGGCAGCTGTAGTGGACACAGATATGCAACATCCCAGCCCCAAAGAAAAGTTCTACTGGACAGTGCCGGGTGGGGTGGGGCTGAGTTTGGATCCCAGCACTCCCACTTCCTGGCTGAGGCACCTCTCTGAGCCTCAATCTCCTCCTCTGTCACATGGGGTAGTGACAGGACCGATCTCACAGGGTTGACAGTAAATGCTGTGACTGTCATCAGACCCAGGGGCCTACCTGCTGAATGGACCGAGACGGCACAGGCCACAAGGGAGTAGCTGGTGTTGAGCAGTACCACCTGGTCCTTCTTGAGCTGGAAGGCGGGCTGGAAGGTGGGGAAGGGGTACACCACCTGGTACTTGGTATGTAGCATGAAGCCATGTCGCAGGCACTGCGCACTAGGGTCACCTGCAGCAACACACGCCCATAGGCTCAGCCACCACCACGGCGTAGGGAGCCAGGCAGCCCCTGTCCCGAGGCCCCCCAGCCCCTCACCTGGGTGGGCCCTGCTGGCTTCCCGGCAGGCAGCACAGCGACCCGGTGGCGGCACAGCCACTGTGCTGATGTATATGTCGCGGTGGTTCTCGTCACTCATCATCATCATGTTCATGAGCATTCCATTGGCCGATCGGGTGCTGGAGGCCAGCACAGCCTCAGCTGCATGGCCCATGCACCCTCCCCTGCCCACCCTTAGCCTCCCCATCCCTGAGTCTCACTTGAAGCCAAAGACGATGACCTTGGAGGCATCGCTGGGCCACTCACACACAGTTAGGTACAGGTCGCTATAGATCTCCTCGTCCTGGAAGAGCCGCACCTGCCGGACCTGAGCCGCATGTTCCAGTTGGTGCAGGGTCAGAGCGGGCCAGAGCTCACAGAAGCCCACCTGAAGCTACACAATGCTGGACTGGAATTGGAGCTGGGCTGCACTGACAGAAGCACCCCTCTGGTGGTATCTCA